GCAATATAATAGAGATATGCAATATTCCGAAGTCATATGTATATAATTTTTAGTCTTAGCACAGGTTAAAGTGCATTCCCAATAGACAATCGCAAATATGCATCATTTGCATTCATATACTCTCGTTTTTGCATATAATGCGTGATTTCTGTTATTCGTGCCAGTACGTCTGGCTCAATTGCCTAATAAAATTCATACGTTTTAAATAGTTATATATCTTCTAATTTTCATTTCTTAGTAATAATGTTTCCTACCTTTTTTTTTAGAGTTCTAAAGAATGGTTGCATATATTCATTTGTTTGCTTTTGAGTAGCTGCTGCAAATTTTCCTTGTGTACTTCTCTTTACATGATCTGGCCGATTATTCATTTCTTGTTCCCATTCTCTTAACAAACGCTACATATAATGTGAATTGTAAATAAACGCTTATGTATACAGATCTTATTACCATATACAATACATACCTTGAAGAAAGTGTATATAAGGATATAAAGTTTATCAGGATCTTTTTCAATGAGATCAACTTCGATTGGTGTGTTATCCAAAGGCAGATCTTCCGCAACTCTCTTCTTTTTTGAAGATCGACTAATATCTTCTTCAGGTTGTTTCTTCAAAACTTCCAAATCCAAACCAGTTTCCATTTCTTCTAAAGTTTTCATAAAATCATTACGTTGTCCCTCTGACCTTTCCTCTATAAGTTCAAGTGCTCGTAATCGAGTTTTCCTATCTTTGTCTGATTCCCCAAAAAGGCGAATTGGTTGTCCCTTTGCTCTTAATCGGCGAATCACCTCTTCTTGTGAAATATTAAATGTATCGCTACCATCATTCTGGAATAATTTTTTAGTAATCGAAGCTTTATAAAAGTGTTAAATAATATTAAAGTTATTACCTCTTCCTTCTGTACTTCCTTATTAGGTGTGGCTTGTTCTGCCTTTTCTTGTTCATTAGGTGACGCAAGCTAATAAGCACAAAAGTAGAGTTTTGCCTTGTCAGCTTCTAACTATATCAGTTCAAAAACGAAAAATGATAATTCTAAGCATAAAGCATACTGTTTGGTCTTTTAATTTACGTTTTTCCTATGAAGAAAATTTTGTTCAGATGGATTTTCCTTTTTTTTTTTTTTTTTTACTAGAAAAGATCTGTTGAAATAAATAAGGCATAACATAAAAAAAAAAGACCGTTTTACTTACCTCACGCTTTCGCTCTAATTCTTCTTGAATTTTTAAGTATTCTTGTTCCCTTTGTTTTTCCAAATCTGCGCGACTAATGTACTTCTTTTTTTTAGATCCTTGATCTCCTGTTGCAACATTTTCTAAAGCTTTTCGTTTCTTTTCGATTTCAATTTTTAGACTGTCCATGTTATCATTATCAGTTTATAAGAGTTTATATTTATCGGGGTCCGCTAAAGCGGGTAACTATTAAATTGACGATCCTGGGAGTCGTGCAGATCAATTGACAGCCAATCAAAATCAATTTTAGTAAACAAGTTTTTTTTAACCGAAGCTAGTCGAGTCTAGAAATTTCTCGATGTACAACATCATGAATTCTGATTGGCTAAAACTAAATATTAATTTTACTGTATTCGAATCGTAAATTCTTTTATAATAAAATTTACAAGTGTTTGAAGCTTTGTGTTTGGATTTTACAGAGGTTATTAAGGCCGTTCTCAAGCGCCCACCTCAGTGAGTTTGGTAATCAAAGAGATTGCTCAAGCTCAAATACTCTTTTATTATTTTTTTCGTAACATGAATCCTCAACAAGACCGTCGTCGCTACCAAAAATTTATTATCCTACTCTTCATGCTAAAAACTCTTATAACAAATAAAAAACGTTTAGAGTTAATATTTAAATAATAAAAAACTAATTTTTATATGTTGTACATATATTTTATTAAAATAACATTCATGCTTCATTATATTTTGATATCGCCTCGTTTAACGTTAAAGAATATGTTGCCGTAATGACTGTATAGCAATGATAATTTATTTGTGAAATTGTTAAGAGGGCGTATGTTGGAGGCAAAGTTTCAAACGGTTACAAAATTTTTAGGTAACTGGGTAATCGCCTTTTTTTCCTGGAGTCAGTGGAAATCGATTGAAAGAGATAGCTCAAGCATTGATCGCAGTCTTTATTTGAATTGATCGTAGCGTTTGAACGTCATCTCGATCACTGGTCAATTAGGATAGATTAGCTGAGAAACAAAAATTCAGCAGATCGGCCCGAATTATGGGTCTGATTTAGGCCGGCATTAAGAAATAACAACAACTATCTGTATTACACCTAAATTATCATCTGGGCAGCTTTACTTAGTGAGTGGGCTATGGTATCATTAGTAAAATTTTGAGTGATCTTGGCCAAAATTAATTAATGCCGGTGCATTCCGACCCATAATTCGGGCCGATCTGCTGAATTTTTGTTTCTCCGTTAATCTATCCGGTCAATTACATTGAGGGAGGTGGGAGTTGACTGTAATTTATTACTGTAATCCCAATACATGTAATCCGATACTGTAATAGCGATAGTAGCCATAATCGATATTTATCCTTCTGCCATGCTAAACCGTTAAATAAAATCTCAGAATTCATTTTGCGAACTGATCAATTCAGTAATTGTAATGCTTATCATATAAAAAATGTATAATACCACAAAAATCGAATAATTTCAGAATGACTCCAAAGGATTTTTTTTTATATGTTTTACAAAAAGATGTAGCCATTGCTATGTTGGGGTTGATTCTGTCGATTTTAAAAATTTTATTATCAACTGAAAGTATGATTAATAGACGATCTAGAATCTCAGAAATTTTTCTCGATTATTATCACCAAAATTATGTATTCACATCTTTTTGCAAAGCGCTATACCAAAAAAAATTAATATATGCACTATAACAATCAATTCTGCAGTTCTTAAAATTTAGATCATTTTTAATAATTTCTTTAAAATTTACAAGCAAATAAAATTGACATAAATAATTAAATTCCAACTTATAATTTCAAATTTTTATACAAAATGTTTATATTAACTTTTATTAATTATACATTTTGTGCTTCCAAATTTATATCATGGTCGTAATTAGTATGTTCACTATCTAAATAAAATAAAGATCTTACTTCTTCTAAAATAATCAATAATTCATCATACTTTTTAGATTTAAATCCAATATATTTTTTCTTAATATTTTTATCTAGTAATTCAAGAAGAGTTTCAATCTTGAAAATTATTTCTGATTTTTTTATATTAGCTTCACTTTCTTGTATGATTTTTTCCTGTTTCGTAACTGGAATAGACCTAAATAAAGATACAGAATTGTTATTGCAAAAAATATTAGTAATATATTTTCACAAGCTTGTTTTGCTAAACATGTAAATTTTGTCATTTCATGTTTAATTCGTATTCTTCACCCAAACTTTTACAGATAATCCTTGAATTCATAGAATAAACGAAGCTATCTTTTCTTAGAATGGCTCTAAATCTTTGACATTTGGTAGTTGCTTCTGGTCAGGTTTTTGGACTATTCACTTGAGAATTATTGTATTTAATTAATTCAAAGAAATTATTTTGCAATTACAATTTATTGATTGAAAATTAGTTAAAAAATTAGTTAAACTAAAATTTAAATTATTATACAAAGTAATTACCTGAAGAAATTTTTTACAGTTTCATATAGCAATTTTCTAATAATATATTTGTAGAGTAGGAGGTATCAATATTTTCAGAGTCTTGTTTATTTTTTCTAAAATCGCATCCAATCCTTGATGTTGATTGAAGAGCCCTAATCTAGAAATAATGTAATTTTTTTCACGATTTCTTTTTTTACTTTTTTTTTTTATTTCAGTGATCCTTCCTTTATTTTATTTATCAGAAGTAGATTACAAATATGCCCTCAGCTAGCTAGGCTTACATGCAAATCATTAATACTACTATATTCCTGTTCAAATAAAGAATCTCTCGATCTGTTTCATTATTGCAGTAAAAACTACGGCTGAAGCCTAAGATTTTTACGCTAGAGTATGACCCAGGAGCAACCCACCTAAGTGACAATTTTCCTCCATCTGGAACCTCAACTTACTGAGACTATGAACCCGGACTTCAACAGATGGAAACACCGACCTTGTCAAAATCACTGCTCTACAATAGAGTACCGCCAATCTGATGACACTTTCTCGTAGAGAAGTAAAAAAGAAAAAAAAGAGGTAAGGGCAAAATGAAAATGGGAAAAGTAAAAAAGAAAACAAATAAAAAAATGACCAAAACATAAAAGAATCTAAAAAAACTATCCTAAAATCTAAAAGAACTTGTCTACAAATATAAAAACCTGCTAACCAGATGAAAAACTATCTACATGGTTGTAGAAATCTATACATAAAGCTATCTGACAAAAAAAAAACTATGAACTAAAATGCACTTTAACCTGTGCTAAGACTAAAAATTATATACATATGACTTCGGAATATTGCATATCTCTATTATATTGC